AGACAGCATGGAATTATTTTGTCCGAGAAATGAAACGCATCTGAATGGCGTTTACGCGACGTGACACCACCTTCATTGAACAAGACAAAGCTAAGAATAACAGAAGTAACTGACAGTTATCGGGCTTCTACGGTTTTCATATCTACAAAAATGAAATTAGATCACACGGAACATCTTGAAAAGTATCCGCTTGTGCAAAGATGACCACAAAGGTCTAATCTGAGCTACCAGAGCATGAGCTGGACCATCCTGCAGCTTGAGCTTGAGTACTTGAGCTACTCCAGCGGGCACTTTTCTCATCTATTTCATTGGGAAACTGATCAGTGCCAAAAAATTGGACAACGCACTCAGAAAACAAGACGAACAACACAGACCAGCCTAGTGTACATACCTAATAACCAAATCCCACACTTTACTTCATTGGGGACGGACTTGTGTAATATTAAATCTTGCAGCATGATCTAGTGGTGTTGGCAGCCGTGACAGTGAGTGTGAAACTTTCTCATCACCAGCTGGCTTGACGTAACACATGATCCTTACAAAAGTTAGAAACTGGCCAATTAACTACCATCGCTGGTAATGCTTGGCCTAGTCCTTTCCTCTGCAGCCAAGTTATACGTGATAATTTTTTACAAAGCACGACCGAAAAACACACATTCTGGAAAACATGAAAAAAACTACATTTTCAGCACAGATGAGTGCCGTGGCCGCTCTTCAATATTAAATATTTCGGCCTTGACGCCCCCGTCCTCCTAAGGTTAGCCACGAGCTGGCTGCCCACATTCAGTGCAGTACCGGAGTGCAACATCTGTGAGACTTCAGAGAGCATTTTATTTGTCGTTATTAAGCCCTGCTGTATTTCAAAATTTGCGTGCTCCCCTCTCTGAAGGTACAAGCGATAGCGCATTATGCCAGCTGCCGCCGTTATTGTCCTCATCATCGCTGGTGTGGCAAGGACCGACCTCTCTGCACCGAAGACAAGGAATTCGTACGACAGCATTCAAAGTCGCATACGGCAGTTAGCGGAGGAGTTCAATGCTCTTCAGGGTAACCTCATAACATTTTTTACTACCGGAAGCCACAAGAACCACAAATATATGGATGGTTGAGGAAAAAACGGTTTGCATGGGTGCAGTGGTTCTATTTTGCAGCCTACTCGTCTCCAAAGCTCGCCATGGAAACATGCTTCATTATTTGTAACGGGTTAGTCTCCCAAAGACACATCCCCTATTCTCTAAATCTGTTTAAGTGTTGCTGCTTCATTTCGCAATTGCCTTCTTGCATCAAGATATCGGTAGTGCAAAATATATTGTATTTATCGCCCTAATAGGCTGAAATCACCTCAAACGACAATATTTTTATTCCAGTTAGGTGTCCCTCGATAACAAACTAGGAATTTAAGGACTAAAGCAACAATGGCGTTCTGTAGGTAATGGTACGAGCCCCTGCCATGTTACCGAAAATGGCGGAACGAATGCGCCGCTATAGCTGCGTAACACGCAACAACAAGCGAACAAGAATTGCGAGATTAAGAGTGCAGACACCGATTTTTGGCTATTTTCCTTCAGATGCCTTCGAGCCTCGACACTGCGCAGACCTGCTTCGCAACGGCCAACACAGAAGCGGAGTTTACATCGTGTTTCACAAGGCTGCTTGCTCTTCGGGGCAGAATGTATACTGCGACATGGACACAGACGGAGGAGGATGAACAGTAAGGCTCCATAGCTTTCTGCGTTAAATTCTTACTTTTCCATTGTGTTGGTTAATCTCGAGAAAAAGCGCGATGACTAGGACCTACTGCTACCGCTTTGAAAAAAAATTTGTCTTTAGCTTTACGTGTCAAGCGAGGTACAAGCTCCTTACATTGACATTGAACGTGCATAAGCAAAGAAAACCTGTTAATAGACTTATCATAAATAGGGGACGTTTAATGAACGGAGATTTCATCGCAATGACTTTTCAAAAAATATACTTTGTTATAGCCACTGCCTACCAACATAATAAATGTTACGAATCAAAAGCGCTTTTTGGGGGGAGGCGAAGCTCCCGATGCCCTGAGTCGAGCGTCCGCGATGTATGTAGTAGTAGTAGTAGTAGTAGTAGTAGTAGTAAGTAGCCACATTCACAGCCTTACCAGAGGAGTGGTACGTGCTCACCTTTTTCAATAAAGGAGAAACCTGCGCACGATTATAAAAAAAATTCCCAAGCATTTCCCCGAGGGTGAACATGATTAGGTGCGAATGCACGGGGTGATGCTATGAGGGGTATTTATTATTTCGCACTATTATATTTAATAATCACACTATGGTGCCTTTATGGTGTAATGGTTCCTGGGAATCGCAATTCGATCACACGGGGGAGTTTACGTTCACTCACTGGCGAATGCCAACGGATTTTAACTTTACTCCCCCTCATAGCATCACCCCGTGCATTCGCACTTAACCATGTTCACCCTCGGGGAAATGCTTGGTAGTTTTATTACTGATGATGATAATTACAGTGTAATTAATAAATTTAAGTGTTGTTTGTCATGAAGCATTTGTACACAGATACATTATATACGAAGTATTATTTATTTACACTTCACGACGCGTCTGGACGAGCAAAGTCCAGGGCTCGCACCCACTCCCACGCGGCACGTTCACTGGCTGTAACGGCTTCGGGAATGTCCACTCGCCGTGGACGATTGCGAGCGGCGTCTTGACGCCGGCCTTCATCGCCCTTCTGCGCCTGACGCTTGCGTTGTCGTTCCGCTTCTTGGGCCGCGTTTGCGGCTCGAAGCTGACGCCTCATCTCGGTCTCGCGAGCAGTTCACCATCCGCTGCACGCTTCGCCCGCTTGTCCTCGGCCTCGCGAGCGCGAAGTTCGGCATCCTCTGCACGCTTAGCCCGCTTGTCGTCGGCCTCGCGAGCGCGCAGTTCGGCATCCTCTGCACGCTTCGCCCGCTTGTCCTCGGCCTCGCGAGCGGCCGAGGACAAGCGAGTACAAATGACCAATGTGTTTGAAAAATATGTGTGATTGACAAATATGCGTGAAGTATGTGTGATTGAAGAATATAGTGTTTGAAAAATATGTGTGAACAAACACGGAAAAAACTATGAAGAAACACAGCACAATTTTAAAAATTGGACAAGTCTGACAACTTTGCCGAGCCTCCATTGTCAGATTTTGAGTTCTCTCACCTCAAGTTTTGTGCGAAAAATTGATTGTGCTTCTCCAGAAAGGCCAAAATATTGCGATGCTGACTCCCCCCCCCCCCCAAAACTTATTCCTACGCAACTCTGGTCTGTTGTTTTCACCTTCATACCTTCGATTTGATGAGAATCACTGAATTATTTTTTTCTAACGTGCATATTATTTACCAATCAAAGAGGAGGACTCTAGATAAATTGCTTCGACCATTGATTATAATGTTATCTTTTTTGGTGCTTCTTGCCTTTGGGGCTACCATGCTGGATGTCCTCCCCATAAGCGCTTCCGATGCCATGTGCGATTTCCTACAAGAGCCGAGATGGATTGCTAAGTTTATTGAAATCACACATATTTTTCAAACACATTGGTCATTTTTTTACTTATTCAAATAAATTGAATTCAAAGGTTAACATTTTGAAATTATGAACAAATTCTTTTATATAGGAAGGCATTGCTCACTTCATGGCTGATTCCCCAGTGTTAGGTTGCGCCAGGGCAGAAGGGGCCATCAATCAATCAATTAATCAATTATTCACAGGTTTGTCGCAAGTGTAAAGCAACGAGTGCGACAGCAACAAGTCATAATTTCAAGCGAAAAAATGCAGCTCGAAAGAAACTCTTTTCGGGACGCACAACGGACTGCCCATGTACAAAAGACAGAAAAAAGAACACACATGGGACAAGTGCCGACTGACAAACCTGACAGCTCCACACTTTACTTATTTACAAAGTACACACAAAAAATACGTACATATATGCACAGGAAGAGTGTGAACAAGCAAACCTTACAGTTGTTACTTCGCTATGCTTTAACCGTACACCTTTCTCGCAAACGAGGCCACTGTCGCGAGCAAAATTACCTTCTTACTCTGTAATTCTGGGGCCAAATTTTCAAATTCCACTAGAAGCAGTCAGCTAAAACCAGCTGGGACGCCACCCGCCTTCCCCCCCCCCCCCCCCAGAAAAGTGAAGAAAGCTTGTAGGTAAATTTGAAGTCCTCATACTGATTACAAGAGTTAGAGTAACGCATTATGCGTAAACCCTATTTTATACCGAGAGAATCCTTTCTGGATGCACAAATGAAGACGCACAACAAATAAGACTTTAGAAACTGGTCGTTCATCCCCACACTTTGCATTTCACCAAAACTCCTTTATCAGGCATACCTGCAACTGTCGCCAGCTTATTGAATCTGTTCAGAGTTCTATGACATTAACTTATGAGTCCGCCCTGTGTAATTATCTAAGCACTGCCATAGTTCTGTTTACTCGAATTTTATATATTTATTTTTTTCAAACGTGAGTAAGAATGGTGATGTTGAAAATGTCCGTGTGTTTACGCTTATCATTTGCCACAATGTCAATAAAGGCGTTGGCGCAATATGTGACTAGGTTTTCAGAAACAATATGATTGCACTTAGAATGGTCACCAGAAATCCTCATTAAAAGCATGACTTGATAGGTGCATTCCTATAATTTTTGAGCAGACTCTGACAAAAAGATTGATTATCTGCGTACTCAATGTGTAAGAAAGCAAACCTACGAAGCTTTATCAATTGATATGAAAGGCACTGAGAGTCACCCGCAAGTTGCCTTCCTGATAGTAGATGTGACGGTATTTACTGAAGCGGACGTGTTCATTTTGGTCGCTATAAATGAAATGTTCCTCGTTCTGGTATGCAACGAGACAACAACTTTCACATGCTTTTTTGTTTGCCCCTAATTCCATTTTCTGAGGAATATATAAAGGCGCCTGCACCGCTAGCCCACGCTGTTTTGCAGGATTACTGCAACGCGTTGGCCAATCGCTGTGTACAGGAGCGTCAGTAAGTAAAGCATGTCCCGTTTTCACGCCTTGTCTCAGAATCCTTCCTAATGCAAATTTGCATGTCGGAGTTGGCCTTTTCGTGGTACGTTTATGGCAAAGTTTCTTGAATAGGAAGGTATGCATTTCTGATTAGCCAGGTTACGTCTTGTTAACATTGTTGGGGGGCGAAGCTTCCTAAGCCATGGGTCGTGCGTCACCAATGTAGTAGTAGTAGTAGTAGTAGTTGTAGAAGTAGTAGTAGTAGTAGTAGTAGTAGTAGTAGTAGCAGGAAGCCACCTTTTGTTTTGTCCTTGGAATGTCCGCTAGATGACGGTACTGGTATATGATGACTATGCTGTTCAGATGTTTATTGGCGGACACTCGGCCATGATGCACGACAGTGACAGTCAGTGTGAGGACCGACTCTCTACACGAGCTGCTCTTCTTCTTACGAAGAGGGCGACCCACTAGTTGGCGCTGGAGAGGATCACCCATTGTTCTAAGGCTTTGCTACAACTACTCCGGGTATGAAAATGGAGCCACCTGGTGACCTAACAGCTGGTTACTATGAGTCAGATATGGTAGGCCTTGGGGCGCTCCACGTTGACAATTTTGTGCCCTCGACGGCGCATTTCCGACGATAGTTCGATGAGTTCAATCAAGTAGTTTAAAAAGGAAATGCGTTCGACGACATGGTATGGCCTTCGTATTTGGGCAATAGTTTTGAAGATAGTCCAATCGCAGTAGTAGGGATAGAGAACCATATGAGCACTCCCGGAAGGAACGTGGGCGCAGTAGTGCTGGCGTCAGCGCGAATGCTCTTTTGGCCACTCTTGATCATACGCAGTAAAGGTCTTTGCAAGCTCTCGACACTCTTCAGCAAGCTTGGCTGTAGCATAAATAGGTGCACACTCAGACGGATCTGGCTTGTACGGAGGTATCGTGTCGATGGTGGGTGAATAGTGCCTTCCTTATAGTAAAAAGAGAGGTGAAAAGCCAGCCGTGCTCTGAGGGGCAGATTTACATGTGAGGGGACGAAGGGTTTAATGGCATCCCAGTGTGTGTTAGTTGGCGACATTATGATTAAAATTGCTACAATATGATTAAAAGCTGCAAGCTGGCGGTACTTGGAGCATCACAAGGACGTACTTTGAGCAGTGTATGACCAAAAAGGGTTGCCACGTAAAACTCGTTGGGCGTAACTACCTTGGTTTTAGCGAAGTTTAGCGAGTTTGGGCTGTAGTGCGATGAACTAGTGGTGGTGAAAGGTGGGAACTAGATACGAAGCGCAGGCCGTAAGAAAGTGCGTGCATGACACTCTTCTAGTCTGGCCAATGCACCTCTCGGTTAGTCCTTGGAAGGTCCGAAGCATTGCGGTACTTCTATATGATGAATGTATGATGAAAAGATGTGAGATGGCAGTACTTTGAATGTTCACTCGATGTATGAACGAATGGACAGACGCACGGACGGACAGGCGGACAGATGCAAGAACGGACGGACAGAGTCATGAACGGGTGCACAGACGGACGGATGGAAGAATGCACGGACCAATGAAAGGACGGATGCATGGATGGATGCATGTGCATGAATGGATGAACACATAGACGGACACATGGACAGATGGATACACGGACGAATGGACGGACATTTGGATGTACGGACGGATGAATGGGTGGTTGCACGAATGGACGCGTGGACGGAGAGAAGCAAGAACGAATGGTAGGACGGAAGTGCAGACGGACTGACGGATACTTCGCCCCACTCTCCATCATGTACTCTGTGGAAATGCTGTGATTTTTAGTAATCATCAAATTCAAGGCAAGTTTTATTGGAGAATAAGTCACCGATACTCGTGGCTGTTGGTTATTTCATCAGAAACAACAATTTTTTTTTATTTATGAATAACGTGTGCGGGTTTCCTCCTCAATTCAAGAGAATGCACGTGAGCTACTCCTCTAGTCCGGCCATGTGGAGGTGGCTATTTACTACTACTACTACTACTACTACGTACATACATCATGGACGCACGACCCACAGCTTAGAGAGCTTCGCCCCCAAAACCTACCCAGCTGAGCGAGCGAATGATTTATAGTTGAGATTCACTGGAGGAGATCATGGGTACATCCTTTCCACCAAACAAGCATTCTTACAGAAAGTGCCATGAGCGGGCGAAAAGGCTGGATTATTTCGACCTGAGCGTCATTGAATGGATGGCGTGCGTGTTTTTTGAGAGGGGTGAAAATCCAACTACCGCCAATGTGGTGCAGCGTTTCCAAGATTACTAGACGCAAGCGAATGTGTTCATAAGGACGTTACAGTAGATGTTGAATCACTTCGGCTTCAAGTACAAGTAAAGCTCTCAGAATGCATTTCTCCTTGAAGCCACCCAGATTGTGCACAATGTCATCGCCGGTTTCTGTGGAGGTGGACGCCAGGTTCAATTTGCGATTGGTACAATGAGATATGAACCAATCTAACAGTCTCACGGCAATCGTCACTTGGTGCGTGCATGATATCATTCAATGCTATTGCAGGGGAAGTTGCAAACTCAAAATAAACGCTAAGTTGTGACGGTGGGAAAATAATCATTCAGACTTATCATTTGAATGATGCTTTCGTTTATTGACTCGATGATTCATTTAGATTGATTCACTTAAATATTCAAGTAAATATTTAATTATACCCGTTGCATTAACATTTAAAAACGCTGTAGCATGACAAGACCTCATAGGAACAGGTTGCAATAAATCTAAATAGACAAAGCCGAGTTTCTTCATAACTGTTGTCGACCAATCCAAAACAATGGCGGCATAACCACGGAGTGAATGATGGAGAGTGGGGCGAAGCATCCGTCCGTCCATTCGTTCTTGCTTCCGTTCATCCATGCGTGCGTGCATGTGGCCGCCCATGCGTCCTTCCGCCCGTTCGTGCGTGCGTCTTTTCGTGCGTCCACACGTCCATCTTTGCGTTCGTCCTTGCAATCGTCCATGCATCCCCTCCTGCGTCCGTCCATGCGTCCATGCGTCCGTGCAGCCATCTGTGCATCCGTCTATGCATCTGTCTGTTTGTCCATTTGTCCACCAATTCGACACTCCAAGTACCGCCATCGCGCCACTTTTCATCACATATTCCTCATATAGAAGCACCGCCATCCAGTTGACATTCCAAGGACTGAACGAGAGGAGGCACACGCACACTTTTTTACGGCTTGCGCTTCGTGTCTACTTCCCACCTTTATCCACCTCGAGTTTTTGGTATATACTAGTTCACTGTATTCATGGCACTACGGCCCAACGCTCGCTAAACCTTTCTAAAAACAAGGAAGTTACGCCCAACGAGTATATAGTAGCAACCTTTTCCTGTCAGATGGTGCTTAATGTACTTGCCAGTGGCTGGTAATGGGAAATAAGAGACAGAAGAATTTGGCTTTTACTGTTTTACGGCTTGCGCTTCGTATCTACTTCCCACCTTTGACCAACTCGAATTCATGGTATATACTAGTTAATTGTATTCATGGCACTGTGGCTCAACGCTTGCTATACCTTTCTAAAGCTAAGGAAGTTACACCCAGTGAGTATGACGTAGCAGCAACTCTTTCTTGTCAGATAGTGCTCAATGTACATGCCTATGGCTGCTAAGGGGGAATGCGAAAGAGGAGAATTTAGCTTTTAGTTAACGCGCATGCAGCGAATTTTTTATTGTTCAACAACGCACAGAAGAAATCTCCTACGGGCACCACCTTGGAGGTCAAAATGTAAGACTGGTTACACACTACGACGACTACTACTACTACAAGGGACGAACGGGTGCCGCTATCAGGAACTTCGACCCTAAAATAAAGAAAGCTGATGCAGACGGTGAGAAGCAGCACCCGCTACAGATTTAAGCATTTATTATTTTAGCAAACACCTTTCCACAAAGACGGGGCCACCCTTCTGATGCAGGGAAGCAACATTCGCTTAGAAACACAATTATGTAGTACACTTCATCATGATTGGCTGAAAACGCTTGTACCTTCCGCCTGACTGCCAACAGCATATGAAACGGAGTGTACACGTACATCTTACTCGGCGCATTTTCAGTTCGAAAAGTGCATATCCGGTGGCAACCTGACCCAACGTGTCGATGTGGCTCATAGCATCCATCCATACTAAATTGCTTTGCGACACGCCTGTTTCGCCTTAATGTAACCCTGTGTTCCCTGCTAATACTCACCCGCTAATTATCGTGGCTGGCTGAGAGGAACTGGGCACTAAATCTGGACATCAAGGTAGGCAGTCCAGGCTTACAGCTAAGGAGACCATATAGAACCCTTTTTGTCCAACAAATCAAATGCATCTCAAAGGCGTTTAGCCGACGTGACAACACCTCCCTTGGACAAGTCAAAGCAAACAATAACAAAAAGTAACTGTTCTCCGGCGTCTTTCGTTCTCGGAGCTCTAAAAATGAAATTTGCTCACACGGAACATCTGGAAAAATGTCCGCTTGTGCAGAGATGACCACAATGATCTAATCTGAGCTATCAGAGCATGAGCTGGACCGCCCTCCAGCTTGAACTTGAGCTTGAGCTGGAGTACTTAAGCTACTCCAGTGGACATTTTCAATCACTTTATACACTCTAAAAATATCGAGTAAAAAGGGTGTCTTTCTGTCTCATAACGATAATCGTCATCAAGCTTGCGTGCGCTTGCTTTCTTGAAAACTTGGTGCCGGCCACTTTCCTATCGAGAATGCAATGTAACCTTGATAATGGGCATGTCGATCGTCACCAGAATGTACCGGGCGTGGGGCGATAGCGCAAGGAGGGAACGCAATATACATTACGAATATTGTTGTGGGACAAAAAGACACCCTTTTTACTCGCTCTTTTTTTAGAGTGTAGAAAAACTGCTCACTGCAATAAAAATTAGACAATGCACTCAGAAAAAAGGCACAATGCATAACAGCTCAGTTTAAATACCAACCAACCCAATCCCACACGTTACGTCATTGGGTGCGGGCTTGTGTTATATTAAACATCGCAGCATTACCTATAGTGGAGCTGGCAGCCATGACGGTGACTATGAAACACTCTAATCACCAGCTGGCTTGACGTAACACATGAATCTTTCAAGAGTTAGAAAGTGGTCAAGTAACTACCGTCGCTGGTATTGCTCGGCCTAGTTCTTCTCTCTGCAGCCAAGTTATACGTGATTATGTTTTTACAAAGCACCAGGCAAAATATAATTTCTGCAAAACACAAAAAACTACGTTTCCAGTACAAATGATTCCCATGGCCACTCAAGAGTAATAAAGATTTCAGATTTAAGGCCACAGTCCTCCTAAGGTTAGCCACAAGATGGCTGCCCTCATCCAGTTCAGTACCGGAGCGCAGCACCAGTGAGACCTCAGAGGTCATTTTATTAAGAGTTATTAACCACAGATGTGTTTAAAATTTTGCGTTCTCCTCTTTTTGCAGGTAAAAGTGATATCGCATTATGCCACCTGCCGCCGTTATTGTCCTCGTCATTGCTGGTGTGGCAAGGACCGGGCTCTCTGCACCGAAGACAAGGGATTCGTACGACAGCATTTAAAGTCGCATACGGCAGTTAGCGGAGGAGTTCAATGCTCTTCAGGGTAACCTCACAATATTTTTTACTACCGGAAGCCACAAGAACCACAAATATAGGGATGGTTGAGGAAAAAACGGTTTGCATGGGATCAGCGGTTCTATTTTGCAGCCTACTCGTCTCCAAAGCTCGCCATGGAAACATGCTTCATTATTTGTAACGGGTTAGTCTCCCAAAGACACATCCCCTATTCTCTAAATCTGTTTAAGTGTTGCTGCTTTATTTCGCAATTGCCTTCTTGCATCAAGATATCGGTAGTGCGTAATATAATGTATTGATCGGCCTAATAGGCTGAAATCACCTCAAACGACAATATTTTTATTCCAGTTAGGTGTCTCTCGATATCAAACTAGGAATTTAAGGACTAAAGCAATGATGGCGTTCTGTAGGTAATGGTACGAGCCCCTGCCATGTTACCGAAAATGGCGGAACAAATGCGCCGCCATAGCTGCGTAACACGCAACAACAAGCGAACTAGAATTGCGAGATTAGGAGTGCAGACACCGATTATTGACTATTTCTTTCAGATGCCTTCGAGCCTCGACACTGTGCAGACCTGCTTCGCAACGGCCAACACAGAAGCGGAGTTTACACCGTGTTTCACAAGGCTGCTGGCTCTTCGGGACAGAATGTATACTGCGACATGGACACTGATGGAGGAGGATGGACAGTAAGATTCCATAGCTTTCTACGATAAATTTTTGCTTTTCATTGTGTTGGTTAGGCTTGAGAAAGAGCAGAATGAAGATACACTGCGACCTTCTGCTACCATTTTGAAGAAAAAATTGCATAGCTCTATGTGTCAAGCGGGATACAAGCTCCTTATATTGAAATTGAACTTGCATAAGCATGCAAAAACCTGCTAATGGACATCTCATAAGCAGAGAACGCTTACCGGACGGAAATTTTGTCGCAATGAGTTTTCATAAAATATACTTTATTATAGCCGCTGCCTACCAGCATATTTCATGTCACGAATCAAAAGCCTTTTTTTGGGGGGGGGGGCGAAGCTCTCTATGTCATGGAGGGTGCGTCCGCGATGTTTGTAGTAATGTAGTAGTAGTAGTAGTAGTAGTAGTAGTAGTAGTAGTAGTAGTAGTAGTACTAGTAGTAGAAGTAGTAGCCATGTCCACGGCCTGACTTCCACACACGCACCTTTTTCAATTGAGAAGGAAACCCGCGCGCGATAATCATAAATAAAAAAAATGACAGCCTATCTAAGGGGTGAATGATAGAGAGGGGAGCGAAGCAAGCTACGCGCCGAACAACGTCTGCGCACACGGGCACAGGAGCCAGGGGAAACTTTCACCTCATTTATAAATGATGTCATCGGTCTCTGCCCGCGCGTCTATGCTCCATGAGCGAGAGTGCCACGATACAGCACATTATGAGTGGCGTCGACGATGACGTTTTTCAGATGCTTCTCGCGAAGTCTCCTAGCACTGTGGCCAAAGTTGTGACTTTGTATCAGAGCTTTGATGAATTGAGAATGAAACGAGCTCAGACGCAACGTTCATTCCAGAAGATCCAACCAGTGACCGCACTCGACGTCATGGCTGACCAGAGAAACCTTCTCGCACAAATGAAGGACTTCACGTGAGTGGAAGTGGCTCGACAGCTTTCTCTACTGCCTATTGTTCAACGCCAGGAGCTCTCGCAAAAGCAGCCGCTGCGACACCTGCTACAAATGGCGCCCATTCTCCGACAAGTGGTCCTGGAGCATATTTCCGAGGCTATACTAGAGCTTTTCAGCAGCACCCCATCATCGCACCTTTTACTTACGCTGAGGCACTAAAACGGCAGCAGCTACGCCAGCCCTATCATTTAAGGAACTATTGCATACCTCAACACCGACTCAGCCGTCCACCGCAGAATCCTCCTATTTCTAGCCCAGCCTCAACTCACCCATACACGCATGGGCTGCTCCTCTGGCCGCAAACGCTTGTAGAACGTGCAATAACCGGCAAATCTATTTTGTATGCGATGGTTCTGGCCCAATGGCCCGATACTGCTGTCGTAGCGTGCCGGTATACACAGACTCGCCGACACGAAGCAGTTTCATGGACCTTCCTTCATCTCGTCTGGCAAATTCAGATCCTCAGTCAAGTGCGTCTTCCCGGGAATATCCGCTAACCGTGTCTGGTCACTCACTTTAACCCCGTCGTCGCTTCCTGTCACCCATGCGTCGTCAGCCAACTCCTGAACACAAGGGTAACTAACCACTGCAGTTTAGGAGGCGAGAACTCCGCTGTCGAAATACTCAAGTCCTCGAACATTGGCGTCGAATACTGTCGAATTTTGTAGAAGGTACTCATCTATATGCTGTTGTTAATAACGTTGCTGCTCTTTCCATGATATACGCCAAACTTTGCCGCAAGCACCAAAAAGTGGCTACGCCTCTTGATACGATTTCCTTGCTAACAGCGAATGGGGAACCTGATCGGCCTGTAGCCGCGTGTACTGCTGTGCTGATCATCGCGAAGGACCCCTACACTGTGGGGTTTATTGTTCTTTCATCATGCTCACACGACAAAATACTTGGACAGTATTTTTATCTCGTAACTACGCCGTTATTGATTGTGCAAGATCTGATGTTAGACTCTTCCCGTTTTGCGACCAACTAACCGACCATACTCAGCCCACCGCACACAAACTCATCGTAAAAGGAGGCACTCAAATTCTTCCGACAATACCTGCGTTGCTCCCGGTGGAATATGACGGCATTACGGACGAAGCTGCATTCTTGGAACCATCAAGCCTCCTCTTTACTCGAAAATCAGTTCTTCTGCCTTCTTCAACCCTTTCCATTTCTGAAGGAAACAGTGCTCTCTGCCTCATTAATTCCCTTCCGTATCGCGTTGAACTGTTTCACGGTGAATCTCTTGGACACGTACATGTTATTGACAAAGAAAAACCATGCCGCAATATTGTGCCGGGGATTACGATGCCATCAGTGCCCTCAGCCCTTCCAATTTACTACCTTCCAGCATTTCACTTCATTGAACACCGACGGACTATCGCCATTTGAACGCTCTGAGCATGTAAGGCTGCTCTACCAGTTCTGTGAATGTTTTGACGTGGCTCAACTTGTCCTTGGCTGAACTTACAGTTTTTTTTCACTACGTTGACACAGCTTCCAACGCGCCAGTAAGACAATGACCATACCGTGCTTCCGCTGCCGAACGTCAGGTTATCACCGAAACGGTTGACGATATGCTCAATCGTGAGATTATCCGACCTTCCCAAAGTCAATAGGCAGTCACCTGTAGTTCTTGTTGAGAAGGATGGTTCAATTCGCTTCTGCGTGGATTACAGGCGCTTAAATAAGATTACTCGCAAAGACGTATACCCTTCGCCCACAATTGATGGCGCCTGTGATTGCTTACAAGGTGCCGAGTTTTTTATCGTTAGATTTGAGCTCGGAGTATATGCATGTGGCCTTAGCAGATGCCGATCGTCCAAAAACGGCTTTCATGACACCGAATGGGCTATATGAGTTGAAATTCATGCCCTTCGGCCTCTGCAATGCGCCAGCCACATTCGAGCGCATGATGAACTTGGTTGTGGAGTTTGAATTGGAACATATGCCTATGCTCCCTCGACGATACCGTCACCTTTGCACCAAATTTTTCAACACACCTTGTACGCCTTAAACGTGTTCTGACGTGTCTCAAGAATGCTCAGCTCCCACTGAATTTAAAGAATTGCCACTTTGCTGCTCGGGAGCTCACCGTTTTTGGTCACATCGTACCAAAAGAAGGCGTTCTTCCCGACCCGGCTGTCGCTGAATTCCCCAAACCGACGACAGTAAAACAGTTACGCAGCTTCATAGCATTATGCTCCTACTTTTGTCGGTTTGTGCACAACTTTGCCTCCATATTGGCCCTTTTGACCCAAATTTTAAGCAGCGCCAACGACGTCTTGACACGGTTACTAACTGTGATCACGGATTCACCACACTTCGCCGTCTCCTGCCATCACTGCCTATATTGAAACACTATAATCTCACGGCTGCAACAGAGATTTATACAGACGCCATTGGTGTCGCTCTCAGCGCAGTTCTCGGTCAATGCAAGCCTGGATCCACTGAGTGTGTCGTTGTCTACGCCAACAAAACGCTCACCAGCGCTGAGGTAAACTACAGTATTACCGGAAAAGAGTGCTTGACCATCGTTTGGGTGCTTGTCAAGTTTCACCCATACTTATATGGCCGCATGTTCACTGTAGTTGCATATTATCGTGCCTTATGAGAGCTGTCGTCGCTGAAGAATCCATACACCGCATCCAGGAGCAGCTCCACTACAGTCCGCTTGCGTGCACCCACCACCCATTTGACAGCGTAGTAATTGACATTATGAACCGCTGCCATTGTCCACGGCAGGTAACCGGTGGGCTATTGTTGCTGTGGATCACCTGACACGGTACGCCGAAACCGCTGCTCTTCCTACAGCGACCACTTGGGATGTCGTAGCATTCATCCTCAATTCTTTTGTGCTACATAATTACCCTCCTTGCAAATATCTCAGTGACCGGGGCAGTGTGTTTCTGTCCGACGCAATTCAAACACTTCTTCACCAGTGCCATATTGTACACCGGTTGAGTACCGCTTACCATCTCTGAGACGAATGGCTTGACTGAGCGCTTGAATCGGACCCTTGGCGACATAATCGCGACACATGTTGCATCTGACCAAACGAACTGGGACCTGGTACTTCCGTTTGTAACCTACGCGTACCACACCGCTATCTAAGTCACTACAGGTTTTTACCGATTCTTCCTTCTATAATAACGTCAACCGTCGCACACAATCGACACTTTGCTGCCATACGCACCAGATGCATCTGAGTGCACGACCTTGTCCGAAGCCATGTCCTTGTCCTATGGCAGTTGCGGCCGTTGCCCTTACGCTTCGAAGAGCGTGACTTCGCCGAATCTCTCCGCAGAAATATTGCCGGTGGGGCAAATTCAACAGAAACGAGGGCGCCCGTAGTTCGTTATTCACACGTAATCCCCGAACCTGTCCCCGTTTCCAATAGAATAACTAAACGCTGGGCTTGCCTTGTGTAGACGTCCTTCAGTGCCTGGACCTTAAGGCATCCCCTACCGTGCTCTGTGTTATACAACGAATACTGTCAAACTGGCACGGTTCCACCGGAATGAAAGCCAAGTCACCTGATTCCACTTCTCAATGCCGGCAAGTTACCTTTGCATGTTTCCTAGACCACCTAGTTGCCCTCGCAAGCTGTGTGAAAAAGTTAGTTAGAGAATGAATTAACGCGTCTGGAATCGTAAATAGAGTTCTACGAAATATAACCGGATGTTATGAACGGGTTCCGAAGAAGCCGCTCATAATCGACAATGTATTCAACTTTGCAACATATATATATATATATGTATAATACCAGGAGGCCTCAAAACAGTTATCTGCTGTTTTGTTTTTTACATTAAAGCGGCTTACGATAATGTCAACCACGAAGCCATCCTCAGTGTATTAGAAGAAGTGAGACTTGGTGGCAGGGTCATTATGTGGTTTGCAGCTCCTTACAGAGTGGATAATTTCACGTGCAGACAAAAAATGACCCGACACCCGAGTATTACGGTATCCGAGGAGCCGAGGAAGGTTGTGTGCTAAGTCCGACGTTGTTCAACAAAGTACTCATCGAACTAGAT